AAGACTTGGTCGAGAGAAAGGGAGGATTTAGAGTTATAGTATTCTAGTTTGTATCCGATCAGCGACTAATTGAAGAATTGTTACCGGCATACAGGGTAATACGGAGGACGAGGAGGAAGGAGAATACAGCTCCGAGTGTGATACCGGTCTACCGTCTTCCCGACTGTCTTGGACAGCGTGTTCAACCACTTCGACCACGACCACGACCACGACCACGACAACGACAACGATCAGCAATCGGCCGCTGAACCCCGAGTGTCAGGAGTTCCAGCTGCGACAAGTCGTTAAATCTCATACCTCTCTATCGGCTATTCCAACCTCCACCGATAGCACGCTTACGTCCGAAACGAGCTCGACGACCACCGACAACAAGGGCAACGAGGTATGCAACGGTGTCGACGGTTCCGACGACTGGAAGGACCAAGACGACCAACCGACTGACAACAGCAAGTCCGATCAACAATTGGAATCGACGTCCACCTTAATAGAGAACAGTCAATCGAAATCGCTGGAGGTGGCCAGCAATTCGGATAACGAATCGAATAGACTGATAAACTGCCTCCCCGAGGACAAGGAGACAGCTCTCTCGACGAACGAGGTCGCGAGCCAGGCGACCGAACCGGTCGAGAAACTGCCAAGCATTCACAAAGCAGTGAATAACGATTCATCGAGTGCCAATGAGCTACGCGAACGACCGAACAACAAGAACGAGATGAACGAAGAGATCTTGGCCAACAGGAAGCTGGACTCCGATTCGAGCAACAAGGAGGCGTCGACACCGTCAACGACGCCGAGGCCGTCGTCTCCGGTGTCCAACAACGAAACGACGGAGAACGTAGCGATTCGCGAGGACCAGAATCACGAGTCATCTTCGTCGAACAGCAAGTCATCGTCGTCGACTAGTCTGTCCAAGAGGAAGTACACCGCGAAAGGTACAAAGTTCGTGAGAGAGCCGACACCCGGTCCGGACTTGAACAGTTCGACGGAGCCAGAGAGCGAGACGAAGTCACACGATCCGACCCAGAGTTTGGAAAAGATGGATCTGTCGAACGACGCGCAGACGATAGACTCGAAGTTCGATGTTCGATGCGACGATGACAAAGTGACAGAGGATGATCAGGTACCGAGTAAATTCGGAACGAAGGCAGCAGCAGCAGCAACGTGCAATCGCCTGAGCAAAGAGGTGATCGAGGCGACGAACGAAGATTCTGGATTTGAAAGTCAGACGCAGCTGTCTGACTATCCGATCACGGAAGCGGTGACGGAGTGGCTACGCAGGGAGAAGTCGCCAGATTTGTTCATCACGTCGGCCATCTCGATGGACTGCGAGGAGGACGAGGACGATATGGACGAAGAGCCGCCAAAAAACTTGCAAGGCAACCCCATGCCTGCACTATCTGTTAATAGCGGTGCGGACAATGCGACATTGTCGCGCGCGGCTAACTGCGGGGAATTCGCAGGGATCAGCAACATCAAGGGTGGACAAGAACAACAACAACAACA